GGACAGTTCGTTGATCCATCTGCAGAAGTTCAGTCTCGAGACACTGTTGAACTGTGGTACGTTCTTACTGTCCTCGGATGGCAGCGAATTTGACATTGCCGTTGTGGATAAGGAAAAACAGTGGAAACTGATCAACAAAGAACTCGGCTTGAGCTCAAACATGGGGTTGACCTGCCGAGATTTGGTGTCGGACGGTGACCTTGAAGTCCAGTATAATGAGGATCAGACAACTGGCAGTGGCGACGACGACGAGGCATCGTCGAAATCAGCAGTCTCTGGAACTAAACGTTGCCGGTTCTTTTCCGAAGAGTTAGAGTTTGAAGTCGCTTCTGTGGATGGTAGCGACGAAACTCGACGAGATGTAGAAACACTTCAACGCTTTCTGCTTCAACTGTGTCGCGAATTGTATGATCCGAAGTGGACAAAGCGCCATGGCGTCGTACTGGGCATCAAGGAATGCGTCACATGTGCACTGTGCTCAAAGAAGACGTTTTTGAAGAACGACATGTTCCTTCTGAAACACCTGTTTTGTATGTTAGCGTTGGACCGCTTCCACGACTTCGTCGGCAATCACGTGGTGGCTCCAATTCGGGAAACAGCCGCACAGGTCATCTGTATATTGAACAACGTCTCGCCGGTCACCATTCAGCTATTCGTTCGATCGGTAGTCTTACAGTTTCTGTCATCACCCTGTTGGGAATGTCGCCACGATGCACTCCTGATCGTCAAGTACATATTCGCGTCAGATCATGCCCGATCGGTCTACTCGGAGCAGTTGTTGCAAGCGGTGATGTCTTGCCTGAACGACGGCAATGACGATATCGTCATTTCGGCCGCCGATGCATTGTCGCCTGTCGTCGAGCCGTTCATCAATTCGATGCCGTCCTTAGCCGAGTTCCTTACCTCCAAATGCTGGCAGATGTTGCCCAAATTCTTGTCGAACACCGTCGACGTGTCGGCTAAGGGTCTCTTGCAGATTCTGCTGCATAGTAACTTAGAAACCGTCGACTGCAAATTGCTCATCACCCTGTTTCGGCTAATCGACCACGACATCGCCGAAATCCGTCATCTGTTCCTCAAACTCATCCTAAAGGTAGTGTCCAGTGGTGTGCTGCCGTCGCCTTTGTCCGATGCGTTCCTGGTGGCTTTAATGCCGGCACTGTTCACGCGCAACATGGTCGAGACTGAGCCGGACATCTGCCGTGACATCGACGCTCTGTGGACGATACTGGTAGACTGCAGCGATCAGCTGATCCTTGTCAAGTTCATATGTCCGATGCTCGGCTACTGGGTGTCTTGCCTGATGGTCTCAGAAAAGAACCCGGTGCTGAACAAAGACTACTTCCGGCTGCCCGTTGAAATCTACCTCGGAAGCGATGTCATCCTTTCGTTCTCTGAACGCCAACGCACCGTCATCGTTAATCGCGTAAGTTCGGTCTCCATTGTGCTCAGTTTATATCTCAACGGTAGTAGTCATATGCCACGATGATTAAGGATGATCATCAATACGTGTTGGTGATGAAAATGCTGATGTTTATTGTTCAGAATCGCTGTCTACCGTGAATAGAGGAAGTTCAGTCGACAGAGTATGGGAATCAGTCGAAAAACCGTAGATCATACCTCTATCCGTCACTCACCTTTCAGCCCTCCATGGTACATAAACGAGTTACAGTTTGCGATGAGATCACACGTTGTATCTGTCAAATGATTGCATTCATTGCTTTTAAAAATAAGGCACTCTTGGTTGATGGTATAAAAATGGGGATTAACGCTCTATCATTGGCTCCATGGAAGAAATGGGTGTTGCAAATTTTGGCCATTATAAAATTGTACCTGAGACGATATCTCAACGGTTACAAGTTGTCTTTTCTTTTTTCGTCAATTAGCATGTGCAAATTCATGTTCAGAGAGTTAATAAATGTTTATAGAAAACAGAATGTTTGGCCGTTGATTTTTTTCATGTTATGGTTTTGGGCGCAGCGGTAGTCTGATCGAACCGAGCAAACAGTCAAACAAATTGTGTCCTTTCGCTGGATTAAACGTACATTCAGTGCGTACAAAATGGTTTGCGTATAATACTACAAATACACACGTACAGTTACACAGTTGATGGTTTTTTACTACTGTATATAAACTTATTTTTGTGTATCGGAAAGGAAAAGAAAGTTTGTCACCATTAGAATGTTGGTCTTCTTTCACTTTGAAGCTTATGCAATTTTAGAACCTCTCTTTTCATGTAGTTGACGGTACGGTGCTGATCTCCGTTTTTATACCATCAGCCAGGAGTGCTTTGTTCAAAAGCAGAGTCTACAGCCATATGGTAAGCGTGACGTGTAGTATCCTGTTTCTTTCCCACTTAGTGTTGTCAAGTTTATCAACCTGGGAACGAAGAAAGGGGAGTGACCCTGGCCGGGGTTTGAACTCTGGATCTATGGGTGTAGAGTTCGACGCTCTGCCGACTGAGCAATCTCGGTCTGACCTTATATGTGGTAAATTCTTTGCTCAGGGGAATTCGTGAATAAGACAAAGATTGCAGTTGAGTGAAATTGAACCCGGTACCTCGGGAGTTCGAAGCATACTTTTTAGATAATGTGCCAACACACCACACTTGAGCTTATTGAGGGCCATTTAACCGTCAGAAAACCGTTGTCGTAAGATCGAAACGCTGGTAAAGTACATGCGTTGTTCGATCGGACTACCACTGCGTCAAAAACCATGGCATTAAGAAACGTCATCAGCTTATTAAATACGCGGAACAGAATCAAAGATTTCATAATTAGTTTACATTGAAGATCATGTCGAAAAGAGCACAACACTATTTATTCCTTCACAACATAAAAAATTTGGTCAGTCTGATGACTGATCAGTAATGACGCTTCGACTCATGTCGCGAAAGAATTCTGCGAGAATTTTTCAACGTAGAAAGATAGACTTACTTTGGCAGTCCTTTTTGTCGTCACTGCAATTCATACATTGGGATCGAGTAGGCTATTCTCTCTTAGCGAGGAGGGGCGTCACCGTGCACAGCTTCGTGATATCATGTGTATATCCATTGTAATGTTTACTTCTGTTCACTTTGCATCGTAGCAGTCTCTGAGCGGAAAATTTGTCTAATGTTTTATATCTTATGTCATTGTTTTCTATGATGTAATTTTAGGTCCGGCTACGGTCAGCGAAGCTTCTGGCATCACTGATGAAAATCGTGCTTCGGTGTCGCCTGCCCCTTGAGCCAGACAGCACAGAGTCACCAGCCCAAAGTCTTGTTTCGCTACTCGTCTTCCACCTCAGCTCGAGATCGGTTAACCAGCTGATCGTCATCTGTATGCTGCTCTGCGAACTGGCGAAGATGAGTGTCGAGAGTGACGCGAACAGCGACGATCAGTTGCTGGCGGTCGACGGCATGGACACGATCAAGCAACGGTTGGTGTCTTTTCTGATGGACGTGGGAGCGGTGTACGAAGAGACTTTGTTGTGCATGTCAGAGGTGAACTCGTTGTGTTCTGAGTTCTCACGTTTTTGCGGCGAGACTTTTCGTAACGCGTGCCCTGGCCACCTGAAGCTTTCTCCGCGGTCGTTCGTCAATCCCGACGAAGCCAAAAAGTATTGCACTGACCTGATCAACGAGATGAATGATGGTGGTCGGTTGTCAGTCGACGAAACCCGTCGTCTGCGTGATCGTTATAAAGCAGTAGTTCAGAAGCTGAACGTCATCTCAGAGGACATCGTTCGCATCCAATTGTGGCTACGTGTGTGGCTATGCTGTGCGACGATTCGCCTGCATCATCTGCCAAACACATTCAATCCTGTGGTCAGACCGATCATGGAGTTGATCAAGAGCGACAGCTGCGACGACGTTCTTCTACCTCAAGTCGCCAGTTGTTTATGTCTTTTCCTCGAATTCGTTTCTACCTCCAGTCCATGTCCAAACCCAAAGATCATCAAAAATTTGATGTCGTCGCATGGCCAGTACGTTACCGACACCGTCCATGGCGAGCAGTCGTGTCAGTGGTCATGCGTCATGTTCCTCGCCTCCAATGGCCATCATGTTGCACCGAATGTCGACGACTCTGATGCTACATCTCCTCTTCCTACCGTCTCTTCCAACACAACGCACGTCCTTAAAGAAATCGTCCGCTA